CTGTCTACGACTTTTAGTGAAATATACAGCAATTGAGTATGGTACTCCAACTTTGCAAGCCAATGGAGCACATTAAATTATACAAGTGTGACACATGCATTTCAACCTCTGACTAATGTTGTCCCACCCTGCTTAATGAAAGACTTGAAATTTCTTTCGTGACACACCTGAAACATGTTTCTAATGCAGCTCCACATAACTATAAATGGTAAAAGAGGAAATGTAACATGAAAATTTTGGGTCATGTATGACTCCACAGTTAAAAAAAAAAAAAGATATATAGAAGGCAACTTTAGGAGTGAAATAACTCAACAAACTATTAGCAGTAAAACTGTTCTCAATAGCAGGTGGACGTTTTAAATGGTCATTTAATTAAGACAGGTAAAGACAAACTTCTTGCTTTACATCTCCAGAGTCATTAAAGTTTTAAGGAAAAAAAAAAAAACTGAAAATGAAGTTCATTGAAAATGAATTTTTATGCCATTCATGCATTTGCTTGAATCTTCCGAATACTGTAGTAAATTTGGGGACAGTATGTATGCTTGTGTTTAGCTTTTCAAGCTGTTTTCCTCTCAAGGAGGAAAGGATTATCATCTCAGTTCTGTATTTTATGTTTGCAGTCTCAGTAAGCAGAGCCAATCTTAAAAAGAGAAACATAGATGCAGTTCCTGGCTCGGGGAGTTCAAGGACCAGTTTTCCTGGGTGCTTATTCTCCTTTTCTGACACGATGAAAGGTTTCTCAGGTCGGGTGAATGCAAACAGTAGCTAGTAGTTAACCCAAATACCTTCATAACACAGAGAGCACAGAAACACATAGTTTTCCCTCTGAAGGGCAATGTGGCCATTTAGAAGCAGAAAACAATTCAGTCTGTCATACTCTGTACAATACAGGATTTCAATACAGGTGGAGACAACTCCACCTATTCAACGTGAGGCTCTCCAGTGAAGCCCTCAGACCAAACCAGGCCAACACACAGCTTTATAGCCTTAATTTTTTTTAAGCTTCTACTTCAGTTTGCTTGACGTCTCCTTCTTTCGCCACCTGCAACGCTTAGGGCACTTTCAAAGCCTGCATATCTTGTTAAAAAAAAAAGTTCAGCCCGCCCCACCCCCGTGAGTTTGACTTCAGGTGGTTTTATTTATTTATTTGGTGAACTCCAAGCCCGAAACAGCTTGGGAGGCAGAGGGAAGCATACACTGGATGCTCGTGCTTCCTCTCTTTTCTTTTCTAAAGGAAAACACCGGAAAAAAAGGAACGATATTTACCTCTGGAAAACGCCTCCCTCGGCGGAGGGGAAGGCCCTTCCGGGGGACGGGGCCGGACAGCCGGGACGCGCCGGCAGCTCCGGCGCGGGCGAGGCCCACCCGTCGCCTAGAGAAAGGACCCCCACGCTCAAAGCCTCTCTGGGGCTCACGGAGAGGCTCTCCGCCACCGAAGGGGCCTTCCAAGCCAGCCCCTCAGCAGGCTTCCTCCCGCCCGCCGCCCCCAGCCCGCGCCGGGGCCCCACGGCCACAGAGCACTTACCCCCAGAAGGCAAACTTTCAGCTCCCTCAGAGCCATGGCCGGGCAGGCTGCGCCTTTAACGAGCGCCTGAGACGCAGCCCAGAACGATCATAGCCCTTCCCGAGGCACGCGTACGCCCGAGGCCTGCGGGGGCAGCCCCCCGCCTCCCCCGCACCGTGGTTACCAGTAAACCTTCCTCCTCAGGCTCCGCGGACGCGGCGCCATCTTGGGCGTCCCGCCGGGGTCACCTGCCGACACCACCCGCCAC